TTTCCTGGGTTTTTGTTTTTTTCGCCCCCGGGGTTGGGTTTTTTCGTGTTTTCGTGTTTCGTGTTTTGTGCTTCTTCGTGTTTATCGTGTTTTTTCGTGTTTTCGTGTTTTCGGGTGTTTTCGGGTGTTTTCGGTGTTTCTGGTTTTAGTGTTTTCGTTTTTCGGTGTTTTCGTGGTTTCGTGTTTTCGTGGTTTTCGTGTTTTCGTGTTTCGTGTTTTCGTGTTTTGCGGTGTTTTCGTGTTTTCGTGGTTTTCGTGTTTTTGCGTGGTTATTTCGTGTTTTCGTGTTTTTCGTGTTTTCGTGTTTTTCGTTGTTTTCGTGTTTTCCGTGTTTTTCGTGTTTTCGTGTTTTTCGTGGTTTTGGTGTTTTTGGTGTTTTCGGTGTTTTCGTGTTTTCGTGTTTCGTGTTTTTCGTGTTTTTCGTGTTTTTCGTGATTTTCGTGTTTTCGTGTTTTCGTGTTTTTCGTGTTTTTCGTGTTTTCGTGTTTTCGTGTTTTTTCGTGTTTTCGTGTTTTCGTGTTTTCGTGTTTTCGTGTTTCGTGGTTTCGTGTTTTCGTGTTTTCGTGTTTTCGTGTTTTTTCGGGGGACGAAAACGAAAACGAAAACGAAAACGAAAACGAAAACGAAAACGAAAACGAAAACGAAAACGAATGAGAAGCGAATAACGAGAAACGACGAAGGATGAAGGACGTACGACGGACGACGCACGACGGACGAAAGACGAAAAAAGAGAATGAAAACCGGGAACGAGAAACTGAAAACGAAAAACGAGAAATGAAATCGAGGAACGAAACGAAAAAGGACAAACGAGAAACGAGTGACGATTTACGACGAACGACGAATGAAAAACGGAAAAAAGAAACGAAAAACCAAACACGAAAAACGAGTAACGAAAAACGTGAAACGAAAAACGAGAAACGAGTAAGGACGAACGACGCACGACGAACCAAAAACAAAAAACCAAAAGCGGGAGGCGAAAAACGAAAAACCAGAAACGAAAAACGAGTAACGACGTAGGAAGAACGACGCACGACGAACGAAAAGCGAGAGGCGAAAAACGGAAAAAATAAAACACGAAAATCCAGAAACGGAAAAGGAGAAACGAGAAACGAAAAAGGAAAGAGGAAAAATAAGAAAAACGAGAAACGAAGAACGAGAAAAGAGAAACGAAAAACGAGACAAGAATTACGAAAAGCGGGAAACGAAAAACGAAATATGAGAACCGATAAACGAGAAACGAAAACGAGAAACGAATAACGAGATACGTGCAACGAGAAACGAGTAATGACGAAGAACGAACGACGCACTACCCACGACGAACGAAAAACGAGACACGAAAAACGAGAAATGAAAAATATATAAACGAGAAACGAAAACGAGAAACGAAAAAGGAAAAATGAAAAATAAGAAAGAAAAAAAAGAAACAAAAAACGAGAAACGAAACGAAAACGAGTAACAACTAACGACGAATGAAAAAAGAGAAACGAAAAACGAAAAACAAGACACGAAAAACGAGAAACGAAAAGCGAAAAACGAGAGACAAATCGAAATCAAATAAACGGAAAACGAGAAACGAGAAATGGAAATCGAGAAAAGAGCAACGAGAAACAAGTAACGACGAAGGACGTACGAAGCACGACGAACGAAAAACGAGAGACAAAAAACGAAAAAAAAGAAAAACAAAAAACCAGAAACAAAAAATGGAAAACGAGAAACGAAAAAGGAAAAATGAGTAATGAGAAACGAAAAACAAGAAACAAAAAACGAGAAACGAAACGAAAACGAGAGACGAATAACAAGTAACGACGAATGAAAAACGAAAAACGAGAAAGGAAAAGCGAAAAACGAGAATCGAGTAACGACGAACGACGAATGAAAAACAAAAAACGAGAAACGAAAAACGAAAAACAAGAAAGGGAAAACGAAAAACGAGAAACGAGAAAGGGAAAACGAGAAACGAAAAACGAGAAACGAAAAACGAGAAACGAGAAACGAAAAACGAGAAACGAAAAACGAGAAACGAGAAACGAAAAACGAGAAACGAATTACGAAAAGCGGGAAGGGAAAAACGAGAAACGAAAATAGAGAAACGAAAAGCGAGAAACGAGAAACGAGAATCGAAAAACGAAAACGAGAAACGAGCAACGAAAAACGAGTATCGACGTACGACGAACGACAAATGAAAAACGAAAAACAAAAACCGAGAAACGAAAAATGAGAAACGAAAACGAAAAAAGAGAAACAAAAAAACGAGAATCGAGAAACGAAAAACGAAATCTGAACGACGAATGAAAAACCAAATACGAACAACGAGAAACGAAAAACGAGACACGAATTACGAAAAGCGGGAAAGGAAAAACGAGAAACGAAAAATGAGAAACGAAAAGCGAGAATCGACAAACGAGAAACGAAAAA